AGCCACATCCTTGCATGCGACCTTGGCCCAGTCACTTTAACCTCTCTGTCCCTCAGTTCTATAATCTTGCTGGGCCTCAGTCTTCTCCTCTGTAAAATGGGAATAGCAAATACTTCCAAGCCTTCTCGCAGGATAGTGTATGTGAAAGGCTCCCTAGATGGGGGGTATCAACTTGGCTGTATCGCCCATTTTCCATCAGAAGATGCTTGGTTGGTGTGACCTGCCATTTAGCCACACCGCTCAGCACACATGGTTGTCACCAGCCTCAGAGGGCTGTACCCGGACATACCAGAGTCCTATGCATGCCACGCAGGCAATTTGGGCAACAGAGGGTTAATGGGGAGAGGGCAGCCCCCTCGAAGCCAAGCTGTGCCCACAGTGGGGCCAGCTGAGTTGAGGTCACAGACCTCCTGCCTCGACAGGCCCTAAGTGATGAAAACTCGTCAGGGTTCTCTCTCCTTTTCCTGACAGCCATAAACACCTTCCTGGGGATGTGCCTGTGGAGAGAAAAATATTGGTGGGCACCTGGGGCTTCTCACTACAGCTGCCCATTAGGAAGCCAGAGTATTTTGGTTTTTGTTTTGGCACGGCATAAACCACAAGGAAGACTTTATTGCCTCTTTTCTCTGTCTTCCAGGTTGGCAAGGGGAACCTGTGGGTTCCAGGTTGGCAAGGGGAACCTGACTGAAGAGAGAAGACAGAAGTGAGGGTCCCCGCTGCCCTGTGCTGAGTGCTGAGGGCCCCACCCAGGGGAGTTGGCTGATGGACCCACGCCCGGGCAGAGGCGTGTGCAAACGCTCTGAATTCCAGACTCAGCTGGAGAGGAGAGAATTCCACAGCTCCAGGTCATGCTCTTTCTAGCTCCCCTACTTCCCAAAGCAAGGCCCTCCCGCCACTCCCATTCGGGCTACTCGGCCACCTGGAAGGTGAAAGCTGGGGACTGTGACCTTCTGGTGACGTGAGCAGTGACGAACCACAGCTGCACAATGGCCATTCCCTGAGCTGGTGTCCTGGGACCTGCAAGACTGAGCCTTGCCTGGAGAAGTCAGGTGGCTGCAGCCCTGCCTGCTACAGCCAGAGAGTGACACATCTCCAACTCTGCCCAGGGAGCCCAAGGTAAGGCCTTCTTAGCTGGGAGTCGAGCTAAGAGGCTTAGAGGATCTCCACCAGCCTTATATCCCTAACACATTGGTCTGAAGGAAAATCTAATCTACTTGCTGGTCCCTGGGGGGCATCAGGAGTGACAGTCATTTCACTGAAAGCTGAGAGGGAGAGCTGACCCCTGAGAGCTCTTAGGATCCTTCCTCACCTTAGAAATCAGCCACGGTCAGGTAGTCACTCTGCCTTTTAGCTGGTCTTGCTGGAGGCAGGAGCAGACGAGCTTCTGCTTCCAGACCCAGCACTGCCAGCCTCTGGATGGGGTGATATTGATCACTGCCTCCAGGGGGAGCTGCTAGGTAGTCAGAGGACAGGTTAGGGTCTGCCCTCTCCTGCGGTCAAAACTCCCATTGAGTTATGGAAAATATCCCCATGAGTAAGGGAATTACAGATTTCCAATCAATTACCTTGGCCATGTGAGAACAAACAACACATCTGCCCTTGAGCCTAACAAATCTGCAAGGAAGGGCTTGCCCAGGTGTAGAGAAAACCTGCTTCTAGGCTTAAAATAGAGCAAAAAAGGTCATGCAAGCTACGTTCACTGAGTTAAAAAAATAGGTTAATTTTTAAAGGTGCCCTCAATGAGTTAACCGCTGATGAATGAGGGAAACCGCGGCATTAAGTTTAATGTTCTGGCTGAGACTTAAATAGAGCAGAATGTGTTTGTTCTCAAACGTTGAACTCTCAGTTTTCAATCCAATCAAAGGGTTTTGCAAGTTGCTGTCTAATCCTGGCAGCAGGCAGAACTGCACGTCCAGCCTGCCTACCCACCTGCCGGTCTGTGTCTGGGCTGCTTTGGGCCTCAGAGTTGGGACTGTCTGAACAAGTGTGGTTCTCGGACCACTCACGGTGGGAAGCTGTGAGTTCGTTCACTGAGGCCCATTCACCAACGGAGCCACAAGCCACGTGGGCAGTTACGACAGAGACAGGGCTCAGACCTCCCGCTTGGGGATCCTTGGGTCTGTCCTCTGAGGTCGCTTCTTGGTCGCCTGGTCCTGGTCTTGCCCTCCTTTCATTCCTTGTTACTCTAAGTGTGCCCAGGGCTAGCAGAACAGTGTCACCTTAGAGCTTGTTGGAAATCTGAAAGCACAGGCCCCCAAAGGGACCAGAATCTTCATCTGCAAAGAGCCCCAGTGACCTGCCTGCGCATTAGAGTTTGGGAGTCAGTGTCCTGAGGGATTCTCTATCCTGCAATCAGCATGATGTCTGAAGCATGCACCTGCTGGGTCAGTGATCTTCGAGCATGCCTAATGGGACCCTCTGTGTCGGGCCACTCATGAGCCTTACTTGCTACCTCTCTTCCCATAGCTCTCTTCTCGGTATGAGTTCCAGCCCCGGCTCTGCCACTCACTTGTCATGTCATCCTTGGCAGGCCACCTGACTTCTGTGGACATCAGTGCATTCATCTGTAAACCAGACACAATGAGGGCAATCTCGCAGTTTAGTTGTAAGAATCAGAGATCATGGGGTGAGGCTGGAACTCATTCAGTCCTGCTTCTCTCTCTGCCCCACCCCCAGGCATTCTGTTGCTAACATTTTCGTGATGTACATTTTTAGGAGCCAAACAGTAAAATCGATTGCCTGCGGAGGGTGCCATGTCATACGGTGGCTGAGCAGAGCATTAGCAATGCGACCAAACGGGCCAGGGTTTAAATTTCAACTTTCTCACGTATGGCTGCATTCTTCTCTGAACCTGTTTTCTCTTCTAGAAAAGTAGGGGTGCCAGTAAGGTCATCTGATGATTAGAAGAGATGAGTAATGCCTGCGAAGTGCCTGGCACACAGGACACACCCCTGGTGGCACAGGGAAGTGGCCAGGAGAGTAGAAACAGTGCAAACATACAGCGTTCTTAATCATACTACTATGGCCTTTACCCTATGTATGACAGCCTTTGGCAGTCAGACTGGTCCTGACAGCTTCTGCTCTGCTGTTGGGCTATGGAGCCTGGCTCTACACATCACCACGGTTGCGCCTCACCCTCGGCCTCCTTCCTGGCTCAGCCAGCACACTGGGCAGGGCATCTCATGCTGCTCGGCTCACAGTGGCCTGGCAGGAGACGTGAGTCTGACTTGTAGACCGCAGACCCAGGTTGTGCATTAGAAGCACGCAGGAGCTTTGAAAACCACGCATCCCGTTATCACCCCCAGACATTCATCAGCTTGGTCTTCAGTGTGGCCTAGAAGCTCCCCAGGTGGTTCCGATACACAGCCAGAGTGAGGGATCTAAAGGAGGATGAGCAGGACAAGCTTGAGGGAACTCCATCCCGGTTTGCACCCAGAGGAGGATTCCTTGTCTCATCCCCACTCCAAAGTGGGGGCTACGCAGAATGCTAACCTCCCTAAAAAGCAGAAGCCTCGGCTCCCACAAGCAGTGAAATCTCAAGTGAACTCGAAACCAACACATTCTGTCCTTGGTGAACAGGAAAGTTTTTTGTTCCTCCTTATGGAAGCAAAGCAAAGCAGTTTGCCTCAGCCATTCAAAGAGCAGCTGGGGACTGCATGGGGTCCGTCCTGGCGCACACTGTCCATCTCCCCTCACCTCTTACATCCCCCACCAAGAGCACCAGCAGTGGCAGAGCAGCCCAGAGTCGTGGCGCAAATCCAGGGCCTCATCTTCCCCTGGGCCAACAACATGTGGGCCCTCTGGTTACTGGAGACAGACGCTGCAGAATGGTGCATTCTCAGAAGCATTCTCGGCACAAAGGGTTAAAACCCAAACAGGCTTCCAACTCATCAGTCAGATCCCTTTGTCCCTGAGCCCCGCTCCACTCCAAACCCCTTGGATTTTCTCAGTTTTCAGGATTCTGCAAAACAAACCAGACAGGCCTTAGCCCACCCTGCTGACCCAAGAGCCCCTGAAGGCTCTGGAAAGCAGCTGCCCCTGATGGTTCGCACACCTGTGGCCAGAGTGGCCTGACGTGCAGGTGTTACCTGGCCTCAGGGGACGCTGGAGCAGGGTTGAGAGCAGGGGGAGGGTTAGCTTCCTGCCTGGTGCTGCTGCCAGACACCAGTGATTCTCCCCTGGTGGGTGGGAGGGGACAGGGCACCCAGCTCTGCACCCCCACCCTGTTCTCAGGCTGAGTCACTGCTCAACAAAAGATGCTCCTATTGGGAATCTGCTTTGCCCGTGGGCAGCAAAGTGGTGGTGCTGCTGTCCCAGCTTAAACACAATGTGCCCTTTGCTCATACCTGGCCTTGCCCTGACTTCTGAGCCGACTCCTACTCTGAGCCTCTTCACAGAGCTTCTCCCCAGGCAGGACCCATCCATGGCGGCTCTGGGCGGCTCCACCACTCCAGCTCATTCCACACCGAGCCAGCTCCTCAGAGTAGCACTCTGCACAGCCACACCCCGGCCACCATGCCCCATGGAGCCACCCAGCTGGCACCCAGCATAGGGAGAGGCCACTCACTTGCATGGTCCCTGGAGTGGTGGGCAGCTGGGGTGGACAGCAGGGTTGGGGGGGTTCCAGCACAGAGGGAGGAGCAGTCTCACCCCAGGGACCCCCTTCACAGTCCAGGGAGAAGCGTTCGAGACTCCAGCACCAGGAGTGGTGTCGGGGTGAGGGTGGGGACAACTTGACATGGGTTCAGGTTCGCCCAGAAAACACCCGCTTCCTCCATTAGTGTCTGTAATTAGGGGCTGATTGACGCTTGGGTCCCCCCAGCCACAAATGAGGCCTGCCTTCAACTCATGGGAAGATTACAGATGTGCACTTGGGAGGTGGAGACAAGGGACAGAATAGAGGGTGGGTGTGGGAAGACAGACAGAGACAGAAAGACACAGAGACACAGACAGATGGTAGCATTGCTTCTTTTCTGGGGATTCTTGGGGCAGCCACTCACCAGTTCCTTCCGGAGCCATGCTATGGCTTCATCTATGCTCTGAAAGCCTTCCAGCTTGCCAGTGGACAGGGGTCTGGTGCCCTGGCTGGCGCTCCTGGCAGGAGGGGGGTGCTGCTCGGGCTCTCTCAGGGGGAGCAAGGGCTCCTGCCCACCACGCTCCCCCTCCTCCATGCTCGCCTGTGGCTCCGTAGCTGCAGCTGCCCTCGGGAAGGGCCACGTCTGCTCCTCCAGCCTGGCCTGCCATTCCAGGTAGGAAGGCCTCCGGGTCTCCAGCCTCAGTTTCTCAGTGAGGGCCTTCAGGCTCCGGAGGTGGTCATCCGGTGGTGCGGCTCCTGCCTCCTCCTCTGCACCCACTTCTTCCACGTGGATCTGGGGCACAGACATTCTACAGTCTGTCCTGGGAGCCGAACATGGGAGGGGGTGGGGGGCTGAGGGTGAGGCTTGGTGGGTGGCACAGTTGGGTCTGGCTCTGGGATGGCCTCATCCAGGTGCCCGAGGGCATTTCCAGAATGGGAGTGGCCTTGGAGGCTGGTGGCTGGTGAGCGGAGAGGAACCGCAGTATGCTGCGCAGGGCACCCTCCTGGAGGCTCCGGTCTATGATCCGTCCTGGAATCCTGTGGGTGCCATGCTCGGCAGAAGGCAGGAACAGACAGGTGTCGCAGGAATCTCAGGCAGCCCGTGCCAAGGTCTATCCGTCCTGAAGGCGCTCGAAGACCAGACTGGCAGGACGAAGGCCCAGAGCTCCCTCCTCTCAGGAAGGGCAGGCGGCTGGAGATCCTGCGGGAGGGGTGAGAATTGCATCAGTCCTGATGCCTGCCTTGCCACTCACAGGTGGGCACGTCCACTCCACAGGAAAGGAAACTGAGGCTCAGAGTGGACTGTGACCGGGCTTCTCATGGCTAGTCCGGAATGGAAGTGATGTCGTTTCAATGCCTTAATTCAGTGCAGCAGAAAAGTTAACGACCAACTGATACACTGTGCAGTGTTTTACCATTTATAAAATGACTCCGCCTCTACTATCTCATTTAATGCTCCCAGCAAGTCTGCAGGGATTTGTTTTTATTCCCATTTTGCACACAAGGAACCCACATCTCCTAGAGATTAAATGACCCACTGAGATCTCCCAGCAAGAATTTGGGGGAACAAGCTCAGGCTGTCTGAATCTGAAGGCACAGGTCTCTCCTCTGTGTGGCAACAGCAGGAGGGTCCCCAGAGCCAGCCAGCTGAGCTCAGGTGTGTCTGCTCCGTCCAGGTGCCGCTGCCCCCTCACCACCTCCACCCACTGCAGGCCCCGTCCTCCGGCAGCGGTTCTTACATCCAGGTCTTACCCCACACTCCCAGCTTCCTCCTCCAAGAACAACACTTTACCTCACCTCTTCAGAGACAGAAGCAAAGAAACCTGCAGCTGTGGAGCGAAGAAGGCGGTGGCATCTGAGCTGGACGGCTAAAGGAGCAGGCTGTGACTCACTGTTCTAGAATGAGGCTTCTTGTGTTCACCTAAGTGCCTGCACGGCAACCTGTCTTCAGTAAGGACTCCAGCTATGGGATCTGATTTGGCTTCCCCATCTCCAGACAGGAGGCATAAACCCAGGCTTCTACCCTGTAACATCAGACGTGGGGTACAAACCTAACTCCCAGTGAGGAGAGACCCCAGCCTCCAGACTCTGCAGCCCGAGGGCCACGCGGCGGGCAGCGGAGTTGGTGAATCAGAGTAGGAGATACATGATTTGGACCCAGGTGGGAAGCCCTGGGCTTTCAGGGTGAGTTAAAAAAAAATCTGTGCTGGGGGACATGCAGCTATAAATAAGAATGAACTGATGCGGAATGATGCCCCAGATAAAGCTGAAATGAAGAAAAACAAGATGCTCAGCAGCCTGGAGAGTAGGCCGCCCTTGGGGTGAAAAAGGAGAAAGGGAAAGGGATTGTTATTGACTTGTAAATGCCTAAAAGCATCCTGGCAAAAACAAAAAACAAAAAGGAATGGAATAGCCATAGCCATGGTTACCTGTTTGGACCGAGGGGAACCAGGCAGAAGGGAGGTGAGGAGAGGAGGGAAGGACTTAAGATGGGCGTGGCAAAAGCTGAGTGGTGCGCAGGCCACGCGGGTTGTCCTGGGGTTCCTCTCCGACATGACTCGAAGATGCTCAAGAAGGACGGACAAAAGTCTCCGGTCCAGACCTTTTCCTTAGCTCCAGCCTGTGGGGGGCCTGCAACCAGAGGACGTCCTGCTGCCCCAACCTCGGCTGCCCTGTGCTATGAACCTGTCCCTGCTGAGGGGCATCCATGGAGAATGAGAAGGAACAGTTCACCCCAACTGGGAAGCAGAGAAACCTCTCACCTCCAGCCCTGCTTGGAGCAAGTGAGAATCCCCCTGAGGAACTGGATTCTGGTTCAATTGGTCTGAGATGCGACTCACAGCAGCCTTCAGCCCCCGGATCTGAGTGTGCAGCCACAGCGGAGAACCACCATCTCCAGACACAGACACTAGGCCTGGGGGCAGATGGCCTAGCTCCAGGTCTGGTCAGGCTTACTAAGCCTCATGTTCTTCATCTGTAAAATGGGGGTGATACATACCAACCTCCCATGCTCTAGCAGAGTGGCAGAACTAAAGCTCACAGGCATTCTGAAGACTTAGTGCACTAAGTCTGCAAAAGTGAAATGTACTCGTGGGAGTCTTCCGTGCAGTTTCACGGTCAGAATCTGTCCAAATCTAAAGACTCATTAGCTACTTTCTGGAGCCCCTCCCAGGCGCCGTCTGCCTCTTTGCTGAGGTGCCAGGATCTGTTTTGAGCGTGTCTGGGGCAGCTGCACTTACAGAGCTTCCTTCTGACTGGCAGGGGAACTGATTAGATCCATCAAAGCTTTCTGGAGAGGATTCAACTGCAGATGGATGAGCAGCGCCCTCCCTCCCTGGGTTCCGTGGGCAGATACCACGGACCAGGAGCCACGGTGGCCCACCCCTCCCCTGGCAGCAGGCGCCCACTGCAGAGGTGAGGGCACACCACCGCTGCTGGGTAAGGGGCTCCTCTTGGGGTGGGAAACACTACATGTCTGTAACTGTATTGCAGGGAATTATTTCAATTACTGTTTTTTTTTTTTTTTTTTTGAGATGGAGTTTCACTCTTGTAATTCAGGCTGGAATGCAATGGTGCAATCTCAGCTCACTGCAACCTCCACCTCCCAGGTTCAAGAGGTTTTTCTGCCTCAGCCTCCTGAGTAGCTGGGATTACAGGTGGCTGCCACCGCGCCCAAGCTAATTTTTTTGTATAGTTAGAAGAGATGGGATTTCACCACGTTGGCCAGGCTAGTCTCGAACTCCTGACTTCAGGTGAAGGCCTGCATGGACTATGTCAGGACCACCTGGTAGCACGGGAGACAGCCCCTGTGACCTGTGACCAGCTAGCAATGGTCCTCAGATCTGCTGAGCTTGGTGAAGTGCAGAAAACACAGTGTGCACATCTGCCCACGTGAGCCTCAAAGTAGCCCCCAGAGGCAGGCGGGACCACCCCATTTCACCAAGGAGAAATTGAGGCTAGGGCAGGTGAAGCGCCTCACCCATGGCTACAGGCAGGTGCCAGCACTCGGACCTGGGCACAGCCATTTGACTCTGTGTCAGCCTCTTTCTACTCTGGAGAGTGCGGGCTCTGGGGCTAAAGTCCCAGTGCAGCCATCAGCTCTGTAACGTTGGCACATTGCTTCATGACCACTCTGGGCCTGTGTCCTCTTCTGAGAAATGCAAACAACCAGGCTATGTAATCTGCAAGGCTCAGGGTGAAATGAAGATGCAGGGCTCCTTGTTTAAAAAGGTCTAAGAATTTCCAGACAGTGACGGCAGAGCATGAGCCCACACAAGGGGCCCCCCGTGCCACTGCCTGGGCCCCACAGCCATGAGCCCAGCCCTGGGGATGGTTACATCCACCTAGAAGTCACCCAGGGGATTTAATAAGGTTATGAATGTGAGCTCTCAGCCCAGTGCCTGGTCTACAGGAAGCCCTAGACACAGTCCTCTAGCCCTAGCCACCTTTTTAAAATGTCATTATTAGGCTGGGGGCGGTGGCTCACGCCTGTAATCCCAGTGGATCATCAGGTCAGGAGTTCAAGACCATCCTGGCCAACATGGTGAAACCCAGTCTCTACTAAAATACAAAAAATTAGCTGGGTGTGGCGGTGTGCACCTGTAATCCCAGCTACTCGGGAGGCTGGGGCAGGGGAATCGCTTGAACCTGGGAGGCAGAGGTTGCAGTGAGCTGAGATCTCACCACTGCACTCCAGCTTGGTGACAGAGCACGACTATTTTAAACAGTCATTAAGATGATGTAACTATCAGAGTTATGTCACAGTCGCCTCACAGATCAGGCCACTTCAACTGCACCGCACAGTCACTCTGGTGGTCTCTGACCTGCTGGGTGGCCCAAGCCAATCTCTGCGCCCTCACATCCTTCTCTGGACACCAAATGACATGAAGTCAGTTGATCCTACCTCCCCCAGATTTTCAGATCTCAAAAATCTCAAAAAAGAAAAAAAAAAATGGACCGGGCATGGAGTGGTTTTAGTATGTGAACAGCTCCATGCCTGTCCCTTCCCTCCTTGCTCACATTGTTAATGCCCCGCCCACAGTTCGGGGCATGGGAGGAGACTCCACTGTGTGGTCCCTGCACAGGACACCAAGGTCAGGCCCCAAAGCCTGGTTCCTGGTACCAGCACTGCTGGGGAGCCAAGCACTCAGGCTCAATCCTCTCCTCTTGGCCTCAGTTTCCTAATCTGTGCAATGGCTGAGCATCTGTGGAACCTGGTATGTAAAAGGTCTCTGGGAACTGTAAAGAGCTGTATCCACCTGAACAGCCGTGTGTGTGACATGGAAAGGCCTAAGTTAGGGAGTCACCATTTTAGAGATCATGGTCACCTATAGCCAGCTGGCAGGAACGGAGTTGCCCTTAGCACACCAGACTGTGAGGAGTTGCTGAATCTGCATGTGTTTTCCTGGTCGTCAGTGTCAGGGAAGCACTGTCCCCTGCGGGGTCTGGTGTCTGAAGAAGCTCAGAGGGGTTTCTTCCCTCCCACTAGGTACAGAAGCTGAGCTGGAATGTCACTCACACAGGCCCAGGGATGTGACAGCAGAAAGGCTTGTCCCTGCTTACTGGGCACTGAGCTGGACTCGGACTGAGCCGGCGGAGAGGTGCTAGCTGGGTGCTGGGGAACAGACGCCAGCACTGGGCAGCTTCCTGGGCTGGAAAAGCAGTGGAGGCCTCCGCTCCTATGGGACAAACCAGGGACTCCTGGGGCCCAGGACCCAGGAGGAAGAGCCCCCCAACACTAAGCAAAGGAGCTTTCTTTACACATAACCTGGGTCTTTCCCAGGGGTGGAGGAGCTGGAGAAGGAAGCCGAAGGGTGCTGCCAGACGTGGAACCCGAGTTGTATAGAAACACGAGACCAGACCCTGGAATCCCACCAGGCCCAGGCATGCCCCACTAGGCAGGCCACCCGGCAAGCAGCGGGGACAAGCCCTCAGGGGCACGTCAGCCTTTCTGCAGCTCGGTGTGGCAGCGCGGAGGACCCATGCCACACACAGGGACTGCTGTTCCAACACGCTCCCTGGCTCTCTGGCCCACAGTGGCCCCGTGAAGGAGCCTTCGCCAACCATGAGCTAATTCCTCCGGCTGCTGGAGGAGCCAGGGCAGCGCAGCCAACACCTTGTCTCGGTATGACCTAATCTGTTCACCTGGAAAAGCATCAAGTCCACTTCCTCAATGGGCTCCCAGGGGCAAGGGAGGATGCAGGCACTGACCCCTCCCCTCCTCCTTCCTTTCTCCCCATGTGATCCTGCCTGTTCCAGCCTCGCATCCTCCCCTAGAACCCTTTCATTTCTTCCCCATAAGACACAGTCTTCCTAACTCCCGTCCCGGCAGTCCTGTCCTGCCCAACACCAGGCGCTGTCACATCCCTGACTCGGCAAAAGCTTTCCTCCAGTCTGGAAAGCCCTTCCCTCCCTTCCATGACTTAGTTCTCAGGGATTTTCTCGTGGGGGAAGTTTTGCCTGATTTGCCCGGGCTGGGCTGTGTGTACCCAGGACAACTGGAGCACATCAGAGAAACAACTGTGTCATTGCAACATTAGCTAACGCTTTCTCACACCACATCACATGAGGGGTCATGCTGAAAGCTTTACACGTATTCACACATTTAATCCTCACAACAACCCTATGAATCTGGGGTATCATCATCCCCATTTTACAGATGATGAGACTGAGGCACAGACAGGTTCGGTACCTTGCCTGAGGCCACAGAGATTGTAAGTGGTGAAGCTGGGATTTGAACCTCTGCAGTCTGGCTCTGAGCTGCCCCTAACCACTGGGCTTACTGCCCCTCTTAAGTCACAGCACTTACACCCAGGGTCTTTGTTGATGGTTGTCTCTACCAGACTTTCAACTTGAGGGCAAGAACCAAGCCTTTTATGCTAGAACCCCCAGCACTGAGCACAGTGCTGCTCTCTTTAAATGTGGTGCAATGAATGAGCCAATAAAACAGATTTCCTCCCACTCACAGCGACCCATCCTTGCCCAAATCTGAGCCAGCCTGGATGGGCTGAGGGAGGCAGAAAAAGAGACCCAGGCTTCCTGGGATGGTACCTCCCCTCCTGTCCCCATGGGATGCCATCCACTCTGCCTGACCGGCCACAAGTGCCCAGACATAGGTGTGCAGGCTCTAGGCCTGCAGTGGGACAAAGGCAGGCACAGCCACAGCTCAGGCCAAATCCCAAGACTGTGTGCTGGAGTTGGCGGGGACAGCCTGGTGTGACCAAGCATGAGGTCCTTTTTGGGGTACAGTGCAGGACGAGGCCATTTTTATCCAGCAGTCTTCCCCCCTCTTCTGGAAATTCATCCCTCATCCCACGGGAGCCCATCCCTGGGGTTCCCTTTCTCCTGGGTTGTGGGGAGACACAGGGTGAGGTTTTGGTGCCAGAACCACCCAGAGGCCAGCCTTGCTCTGAGCTGGCTGGGGCCACTGGGGCCACCATGCTTACCACATATGGGAAAAGGGTCCACCGGGCAAGCAAAGCCAAGCATGAGTGTGGCAGCCTGACCATCAGAGCCCAGCGGAGGGGAGCTGGGGGTCCGCAGGTGGGGCCTGTGGGAAGCCACCCACCCTGCCCGGATTACACAGCAGAATTCCCCTACTACTTTGAGTGGGGTTTCGGACCTTCGTATCTGACCCTCACAAGCAAGCAGTGGAGAAGAAATATGAAAGAGTACAGTGGGTGCTTGCTAATGCTCGTCTTTTGTCGGACTGATTGCCACGTGCAACCCCCCTTTTTTCCTGTGTGGAGGGAGCTCCCTCTTTTTTGCAGAATAGCAGAGAGGTCGTGCAGCCTTCTCTGCAACCAGAGGACACGTCGTCCTCTTCCCTGGTTCATGCCCTGGTGACCAGGACTCTGAATGTGGTGCGTGTGAGGTGCAGAGGAAGGGAGGGTTAGGGCGCATCTGTGAACCAGCCCTGGAGGCAGATATGAGTGCAGGGGCAGTGGCGTCCTCTTAGCCAAACTGTCTCTGCTGAAGGGCTGGCCTGGGACTTCCTGGCTCTGCCTTCTGGATCTGCCCTGGTTCTGCCTGTCTTCTGGTCTTCACCTCCTGCTGATTCTGTGGGCGCCTGACAGCCTTACAATAATATCACTTCTTTTGCTCACAACCGAGAGCCCTAACTGAAAGGAGGCAGGAAGCACAACTCATTCGGGGAGGAAAATATATAACAGAGAACAAAGCAGTGTCATCAAATGTCATGACAACCCAAAAGGCCCCTCCCCCACCATTCCACTTGTCCCTTGGTGGGGGGCGGGGGGGGGATGCGACCTCCCATTGAGAACCACAGGGTGAATGGTCACTGTCCTGCTAATGAAATCCTGCTGGGTCTGTCCACATTCAGAGTTGATTTGTCTCCTAACCTGCAATCCCTGACAGGCTATGCTTGATGAGGACAGAATGACAATTTCCCATAGGAGTGAATTAACCCTTGCTCTGCTCCTCTGGCAGAAACAGCACCCACGGTTCCGTGTGCTAAATGGATACACGGTAGGTCATGGGACCAGCCCAACTGGGCTACAGCAGGACATCGGGGCAAACAACTGAAGTGCCACTGAGCCTGGCGAGCTGTGCTCTTTTGGGAGTGGCCAGGCTGTCTCAGGACTGTGAGAAGGGGATTAGCAGAGGCACGCAGAGCAGAGGCGGCTGCCCAGAGGTGAGCCCGCTGCTGTGTCTGCCTCCTGCAGGCTGCCGCTTCCTCCACCTGCAGCTGCTTCCCTTCTCATCACCAGCCTCCACCCCTCAAGGTTGCCTCAGGTCTGTTTCTGCGCTAACTCTATTAAAATCCCCATTTTACAGGTGAGAAAATGGAGAGCTTTTCTCATGAAATTGAAGCCCAAACTCCCATGAACAGACGTGATGGCCTGAGATCCTGGCCCAGGAAAAGGGGTGCTTTATTTAGCACCTACAAATGCCGGGGGCGTTTGCAGACATGTTCCCCAGCGTCAGCACGGGCAGAGCAATGGTGAGTCACCTTAAAGAGTTCACCGAGCTGCACACGCATCCAGCCTTCGTGTCCTTCGACTTCACACAGGAGAAATCGGAGGCCTCGGAGGCTGGTGGGTTCTGGGAACACAGACCACGGGAGAGCTGGGGCGATCTCCACCCTCTGTCCCCTTCATCACAGCCGCGTGCTCCTGACCCCTCAGCCTGAGCCTGGGGATGTGGACACTGTTCCCTTCTCCACAGAGCTCCCTCCTCCAGGCTTCTTCTCTGCCTTACTGCCAGTTATCCTTCTAAAATGCAACTCGGATCCTACCCCTTCTTAATAACTTTCCTACCAAATAACTGTTATTGAGATGAGGTCTCGCTGTCACCCAGGCTGGAGTGCAAGTGGCACAATCATAGCTCACTGCAGCCTCAGACTCCTGGGGTCAAGTGATCTCCTGCCTCAGCCTCCTGAGTAGCTGGGACTGCAGGCATGTGCCAAGCTGCTAATATATATCAAACACTCAATATGCCAGGCACTATAAGAAGATAGCACCTCACTTATTTGCATGAGAATGTTGTGAAGTATGCACTCTGCCCCATGATACAGATGAAACCAAGGCACAGAAATGATAAGTCTCAGGCCCAACGGCACTCAGACCGTACCTGGCAGGGCAAGGACTGAAACTAGCAGGGGCATAGCTCCCTGTGGAGGTGGAGGGGAGAGCTGTGGCAGGAGCCAGGAAGGCTGAGCTGGGGACCAGGACCAGGTCACAGGCTCCGTGACCCTCTCCACAGTCTACTCAAATAGAACTAAGCAAGAGTCCTCTGGGAATCAAGTTGTCCGGAAGACGGCCAGCTCAGTGTTGGTTCTGTGCTGTCCTGTGATGCTGGCCATCCTCAGCAGAACCACCTTCACTGAGTTTCTGGAGCACACCTACACAGGGGCATGTCTACACTGGAGCACGTCTACACTGGGACACATCTACATGGAAGCACATCTACACAGGAGCATATCTCCACAGGAGCACGTCTACACTGGAGCATGTCTACACTGGGGCACGTCTACACTGTGGCACATCTCCATGGGAGCATGTCTACACTGGAGCAGGTCTACACTGGGGCACATCTACACAGGAGCACGTCTCCACGGGAGCACGTCTACACTGGGGCACGTCTACATGGGAGCACGTCTCCATGGGAGCACGTCTACACTGGGGCATGTCTACACTGGGGCACGTCTACATGGGAGCACATCTACACCGGAGCACGTCTATACTGGAGCATGTCTACACTGGAGCACGTCTACACGGGAGCACATCTACACTGGAGCACGTCTACACTGGAGAACATCTACATGGGAGCATGTCTACACTGGAGCACGTCTACATTGGAGCACATCTACATTGGGGCACATCTACACAGGAGCACATCTACACCGGGGCACGTCTACATAGGAGCACATCTACACCGGAGCACGTCTATACTGGAGCATGTCTACACTGGAGCACGTCTACACGGGAGCACATCTACACTGGAGCACGTCTACACTGGAGAACATCTACATGGGAGCATGTCTACACTGGAGCACGTCTAAATTGGAGCACATCTACATTGGAGCACATCTACACTGGAGCACATCTACACTGGAGCACATCTACATTGGGGCACATCTACACTGGAGCACATCTACACTGGAGCACATCTACATTGGGGCACATCTACACGGGAGCACATCTACACTGGAGAACATCTACACGGGAGCATGTCTACACTGGGGCACATCTACACGGGAACATGTCTACACTGGAGAACATCTACACGGGAGCACGTCTACACTGGGGCACATCTACACTGAAGCACGTCTACACTGGGGCACATCTACACAGGAGCACGTCTACACGGGAGCACATCTACACTGGAGCACGTCTACACTGGAGAACATCTACATGGGAGCATGTCTACACTGGAGCACGTCTACATTGGAGCACATCTACATTGGGGCACATCTACATTGGGGCACATCTACACAGGGGCACATCTACACTGGAGCACATCTACATTGAGGCACATCTACACGGGAGCACATCTACACTGGAGAACATCTATACGGAAGCATGTCTACATTGTAGCACATCTACACGGGAGCATGTCTACACTGGGGCACATCTACACGGGAGCACGTCTACACTGAAGAACGTCTACACTGGAGCGTGTCTACATGACAGCATGTCTACAGGGGAGCACGTCTACGCGGGAGCACATCTACAGTGCAAGGAAGGCTGAGTCTTCTCATCCTATTGTTCAGCAAGCGGAGGTGGCAGCCTACGTGACCAGCGTAAGGACCGGAGCTCTCCAGTGACAGGCCGGAGCCTATTGCTCATGCTCCTTGGGGTTGCTGTACCGTCTTCTAGGACCTACTATGTGGACAGGACTGGCTCTCACCCATGTGGAAAGCTTTCCATCTGCAGGTATAACTGGGTTCCCCCAGACATTTCTGGAAGGAGGAATGAGCTACCCCGTGACTTAGGGGCCTGCAGGACTTTCAGCAGGGCAGGTCGTGTGCAGTGCAGGTCTTGCCGTCTTGCCCCAACACCATCTGCTTTGTTTATGGCTCTACTGCCAAAGTCAGGGTGGGCCTAGCTGTTGGGCAGAGGCCCACGTATGTGTGCAAAGCACTCTGTTTCCTCTGCTGAGCCTGCCGTTTGTGCCACCAAGCCCTAAACTCCACATCACAGTCATAGCTTCACTCAAGGACAGCATCTCCTGACCCCTCAGTTAACACCTGCTGGGTACAGGGTGGCAGGAAGGGACATCCCCACTCTACGTTGCCCTGATGCTGTGGTTTTAGCCAGGCCAGGCCCATCAGCAGAGGGCACCACCCTGATTTCTACTGGAGAGAAAGGCAGGGGCAATGAGCTGGGACCTGGGGTGGCTTCAGAGGCCAGAGAACAGTGGGGCTAACCCCACGGCTGAGGGAGTGCAGAGGCTCTAAGGGGTTTCATGCAAGGAAAATTCAGGCAGGAGTGGGGCAGAGCTCACGCCTGCATCTTTTCCTTTTGTTTTCTAAAGTGGCAAATCCCTTTTTTCTGGGTTGTTGAAAGGTCAGGAGGTCTAGGACATGGGTCCACAGTTGGCCTAGGGAGGTAGGCCTGGAGTGTGCAGGCTTTTCTGCCTGGGTTTAACCAGAAACCCAACACCTATCTCACCCAGAAAACCAGGCAGGACCAGGCTGAGGGGATGAGGACACATCCCTGGGCCCCACAGAGCTGCTGCCAGGAGCCGGGCTGCCCTAGCAGTGTCCTCTTCCTCCGGGGTTGCCATGGCAACCGAGCAGGAGGGACCCTGCTGTCTGGCTCTGGCGCTCATCTTTTGCCTTTCCTGCCTCATCTGCATTCCAGGTCTTGGTCAGAGCTGGTGTCCAGAGCCCTGAAGTGGAGATGACATCTGCCGAGACCTAACCCTTGCATGGCAGGGATGGGTTGCTGGGATGTGTGCATGTGTGTATGTGTGTGTGACAGAGAGAAAGAGTGTGGTGGGGTTGTTGCCTTGCTGTGTGTGACTGTGAGTGTGGGGGGTGGTTGCTCTGATGAGTGTGTGAATGTGAGTGTGAGTGAAGGGGGTGGTTGGTGTGGGCTGGTGGCTCTCTTGGGTGTGTGCTCTGGGTGTGGGTGGGGCTGGGTTACAGAAGCGGGTGGGTGTGGGTTAAGGAAATGAGTGGATCTGGGCAGGAAAGGAAGAAGAGACCGAGTGCCTCAGTCTGCAGTGCGTGGCACGTGGGTGCTGCGTGTGCAGGTGCCCTGTGAGCGGCTGCTGTGGCGGGACGGCCCCTTTCTGGGTCTGGGGTCCTAGTCTTCTGAAGGAATGGGCAGCGAGGGGATCTCAGCCTAAGGGAAGTTGTGCCATTAACAACCTGTGACCCTGGACAAGTCACAGAACTTCTTGAAATTCAACTGGAACAGGGACTCATTTATTTTCCTTTCCTTTTTTTTTTTTGAGACAGAGTTTTGCTCATCACCCAGGCTGGAGTGCAGTGGCGTGATCTCGGCGCACTGCAACCTCTGCCTCCTAGGTTCAAGCGATTCTCCTGCCTCAGCCTCCTGAGTAGCTAGGACTACAGGGGCCTGCCACCATACCAGGCTAATTTTTGTATTTTTAGTAGAGACAGTGTTTCGTCCTGTTGTCTAGGCTGGTCTCAAACTCCTGACCTCAGGTGATTTGCCCACCTCAGCTTCCCAAAGTTCTGGGATCACAGGCGTGAGCCACTGCACCCGACCAGGGACTCATTTATTTGTCTGTTTGTTTTGGTTGATGGGGGTGGCTCCTGGGCCAGTCCCAGGGACAGCTGTGATGCTCTTCCTGGGGCCACCAGTGTGAGAGGATGGGTACATGGCATGAGACGCAGTACAGGTCTCTGGGAGAGGCAGGCACCCTAGTGAGCTGCACCCCTAGATTGCCTTAATGCTCTGGCTTTGGGCAGCCCTGGCTGCCACCCACTTGGGGTCCCAGCATTACTGATGGGAGTGGGAGAAACATTTTGGACAGACCCAGCCTGGTGTGGAAGAGAAAAGAGTTCCCAGCCTGGGAGTCAGCTCCCGGGGTCCTGTCCCACCCTGAGCCATCGGTTTGGGTGACCTCTGCACCCCCTTCCATCCTGAAACATGCAGAGCCTCAGCCCACAGCAGCCGGCAAAGGACCACCATGTCATGGAGCCACCCCCATGGGGCCAGGGAGGAGAGGAGCCCACTCGCCCACGTTTTCCCGGGGACTGCCTCCCAGCAAAGCCCAGTTTGCAGTGCCCTGTGTTAATGGTTGCACTTCAGCTCAGGATTGAAACTTCCGTTCCACCCCTGGCGCAGGAAGAGCAACCACACACATTTTTAAATCACCCTGCATTTACTAATTCCCACCCCTCCCCACACACAGTGGCCTGGGCCAGGGAGTCCTTCCTAAGAATTATACTGCAGAGAACTGCACAGCAGAGCCATCGAAAGGCCTGCCTCGGGTCCCACAGCTCCATGAGTGGGGCCGGCCGGGTTTGCACCCAAATCTTTGCACTCCAAGTTGAGCCTTGCATATACAATCTAGGAAACAGAGAAACTTGCTTGTCTTGCTGGGACATTATGAGGAAAGAATCTATAAAAATACTTAAGACCGAGTTGGGTGTGGTGGCTCATGCCTATAATTTCAGCACTTTGGGAGGCTGAGGCGGGCGGGTCACCTGAAGTCAGGAGCTGGAGACCAGCCTGGCCAAGATGGTGAAACCTGGCTCTACTGAAAATACAAAAATTAGTCAGGTGTAGTGACAGGTGCCTGAAATCCCAGCTACTCAGGAGGCTGAGGCAGGAGAATTGCTTGAACCCGGGAGGCAGACGTTGCAATGAGCCAAGATAGTACCACTGCACTCCAACTTGGGCGACAAGAGCAAGATTCCGTCTCAAAAAAAATACTTAAGACCTTTAGAAATTCAAAGTGCTGGGTCTGAGCTGAATAATTGATGGGCTCAGGCTGCTTGGAGCTGATGTGCAGTCCTCCTGCCTGCAGGCTGGGAGCGTGGAAACCTTCCTTCCCATTTAGCCCAGTGAAAGAGGCTGCCGGGAAAATCCCCAAGAAAGACTCCTTCCCTGTTGGTCAGAAAGAGCCCTAGGAGCTATAGTTCTAATTTATGGCCTCCCTGAAAAGAGAGGAGAAAGCCCAGGGCCACTGTAGGGAGAGGGGCTCTTGGGACACCCGGTCGCTGTGTGTTCCTTCCAAGGCTGCAGGGCTCTGGGAAAAGGCAGTCTTGGCAGGTGCGGAGAGGTGCCTGAGAATCTGAGAATTTGATTTTGGAGGAGATGGGGAGAGGGAAAATTGCCATGGGAAAAGCAGAGAAGGAAGTGGTTCTCCTCTGGGGAAATGCTCGACAAGGCAGGGATGCCCAGAAGGGCGAAGGCAGCCTGCTACCACCCCCGCAGCCGCCACATGAGACCCAGGGCTTTTCTGGCCAAAGGCCATGGTGGCAGTGGGGATTACAGAGCAGAAAGTAGACACAGAGTGGCCTTTAAAGCAATCGGCAGAGATAAAAGCAGAATGCAGTGCAGGCTGGGGTCCTGACTGTACAAACAGCAAACGCTTCCCAGCCAGCTGAAACTCGGAGACCAAGGCACAGCTAAGGACACTGGGATGTGGTCCCTCCCCCGTAGCTCCAGTCCACCAGAGTGGCTCCTAACCAGTTGGCATTGACCTCAGCCTCCACACAAGGCAGATCTAGGACTATTTGAATCCACAGGATAATTGGCTCCAACTTGAAAATAGGCAGAATCAACAAACTCCAGCTCAAGTGGGGATTTGTCCAGATGATCTGCTTTCTATTTTACTCCACAGCACAAGTTCCAAAGCCCATGGTTTCAAAAAGACATCCTAGGGCCTTTCATGGTGTTCCCCGAGCTCATGCAAACTGGGCACCTCCACCTTTGGGCTGGGGGTGCTGACCTCCTAGGGGCTAGAAGGGTCCTTGGGGTTTCCTGGAGTTTGGACGCAGTGGGGTCCTAGTGTGACCTCCCAGCCTGGCTGGCAGTGCCCAGTGAGGCCTGTAACTGGCTGCAGGAGCAGCGCTGTGCCTGCACTGGGGCTTGGTGGGGACACGTGGCCTGAGTGCCCACAGGCAGGACAGAAAATGGGATGTGTGACCTTGCTTCCCTGCCGTGTCAACGTGTGCTGGAGGCACTGGGCTGCTGAAGCCGCCCGGGTTCACACCTCGCAGAGGAAAGGAATCGGGAGCAGGAGAAAGAGATGGAGCAAGTTAGCAACAGGGCAGAGCCGGATGTAGGAGGATGTGGGTGGGTTGACAGCCAGCTGTGCCGCTTACTAGTCCTATGACCTTGATCAATAGGTTCAGCTCTCCTAGGCCTCGGTTCCTCATCCATGAAACAGGATTATAATGGATCCTACCTCACAGTCTTGGAAGGACCAAATGAGATCAAGTTTACATGAATTTTTAGTTATACCTCTAATAGGATTGTCACCTCCTGCCCTTGACCGTGCTTGGCTGTCACTCTCTTTGGTCCATCAGGTTGACAAATGGCTGCTGCACGGCAGAAGTTAACTGAAGCATGCAGAACAGCACTTGACTGTCGGCTCGGGACTCAGGACCCTACTGCACACGCCGTACTGACTCATCAGCAACCCCGCCAGACTGCATGCTCCCTGAGGACACGGCCTTCGCCTCCTGCTTCCTTGGTAGGGTGGTGCATTTGGATCCTAAACTCCCTTGCAGAGATAGTGGGATGTTCTGTGTGGTCTCATTGTGCCAGCTGCAACCTGGGTGTATTCAAATCAGTAACACCCACCCCTACCCCACTCGCTTCCACACCTCGAAGCAGAAAGTGTCTGCTCCAGAGACCGCAGGGGCAGGCCCTTCAGCGTCTTTATCTCTGGTCAGCAATGGGCATTTGATGATTAGCAAGGTAAACATTAGAAATGCGTTCTCATTGGTGAAGACAGAGGTATTCAAGATATGTGGGTTGGCTAAATGGATTCAGAGACCCTCTTGACTCAGGAAAGAGCAGGTGAAAGAATCCATGAGAGCTCCAGGGAGGTGTGGTCAGGGCAGGAGAGAGCAGATTGCTGGGCATCCCTGAGGCCACAGGACAGCCTGTACAGACTCCACTGGGCCTATATACAGTAAATATTTGTCCAAAAATGTGTACCCGTGTGGCAGAATTTACTCTGAGGCTGCTTTCATTCAAACTTGATAATGAGGCTGTCTTCACCTTCCTCCGAGTTTCCTGTGGCTGCTATCACACAAACACAGCAGCTGCCGCAGGTTTTTGGTTAAACCTGGGAGGTGCCTGTGTGACCCAAGGGACTTAGTCAGTTCACGCCTGGCATGGGACTTCCAGGGCAAAGTGTGTGGAGAGGATCACAGGATGAGGGAGGTAGTAATACTTTCAACTTGATGGTGGACAGTGGGGACTGGGTCCCTAAGGCAAGAACCTTCATCCAGAACCTTCCTGGGTGGCCACTACCCAGCGCACGCTTAGGGTCCTTAGCTGCTCAGGGCTGCTGTGCCCACCCGGCTCGCTGAGGCTCGGCTGGCTTCCTGGAATGAGGAAATGCTGCCCAGCCTTTGGGAAGCCCTGGAGCTGCAGCCAGTGTGTAGGTCACTGTTTAGGCTCTTTCCGGACCTGCCACTCGACCTGGGAAATGGGCTCTGCCCTGGGCCTGTCCCTCTAGATCCCAAGGGACAAGCCCTGCAAGGGAGCACTTGGGCGTGCACTGCCAGCTTCCACCTTTCGATTGAGAGGCCCTGGAAGGAAATTCCGGCCACACTGATGAAATGGGGGCTTGGTCTCTGCCCCCAGCGGGGAAAAGGGGAACCCCCACTCCCTGCAAGTCTCTGCAAAGGCCGGTGAGGAGGAGGATCACACTGATGGGGGTGGGGGGGCCCAGGGACCCTTTGGAAATTCCTCAGTGAAGGAAGGGGGAGGAGCAAGGCCACCCCTTACTAGAGATGACAACTCAGGGGGAGCTACTGTGTGTGAGGCCACGTGGTAGGGCCCTGATGTGGGGAGGAGCCTGACGCTAGAGAAGAGAGGCCCCCTTGATGGCTGTGCCCACAGGGAGATGGGGCCATGGCTCAGCACGGTCCTTCTCTTGAGAGTGACTGATGGATGAGATTTGATGCTGTTTTGCAGAGCTGAGCAGGCAGGCAGTGCCCAGGTGGAAAGGCGGTGATGTGGGAGCAACCTCCTCTCACTGCACTGCTCGCCTTCTCTCTCCATGCTTGTCCTTCCTCTCCAATACTTCTCAAGAGGGAAGTGGTAGGGGGTCAGGGTGGGGGAGAGCTGGCTTTTAATGGACAGGGCAAGGGACCTAACCAGGGAAAAGCTGAGACCTGCAAACTTCCCGACTCATCCTGGCATCAGGGCCCTCAGGGGCAGCTCAGACTCTACAGGCGAATGCAGAGCCAGTGAGGCTCACCTGAGGCCCCTTCTAAACTCTGTTCCCACCTGTCCCATCCTTCCTGCTCCCCACCTCCCCCTGCCTGCCTTGTAACCCATCCTCAGCCCTTCAAGGTCTGTTTCAGTCTGTGCCTTTCCATTCTGTCTCCACATGACAATCCAAGTCTCGGGATGCATTTGTAAAGTGAGAGCCAACCAGGCTAATCCTAAGGGATTTCTAGTTAGTGGCACATGAGTGCTCCCTGAACCCTGGTCTGGAAACCAGGGGCAAAGTGCTCAGTTATTATTCATCTTCTGCCTTTGCAAGCAGCTCAAGTCCCTTGGGATAGCACAGCTCCCAAAGGGTCTGGGAATTCCAGGAGCTCCTGTAGGGCCAAGGGGGTTTTCTGCGAGCAAGATTTGCCTAGAGAACGCAGGCAGCCAGGGTGTGAGAAGCCTAGCAAGTAGTTTCTTCCTCATTGGCCTGGGGCTCTGTGGCTCTCGCTCAGCGAATAGTTAGGCAAGGCCTTAATTTATTTCCCTGCCAGAGTCCCTCTTGGAGGGGGGCCAAGCTAGTAGACAGGAAGGCGGGGACTGGCAATTAAGTGGAAATCCAAGCATGTAATTGGGAGGACCAAAAGAACAGGAGCAAGTGCGCAGGGAGTCTAGGGACTCTGGGCAGGCAAGGAGGAGAACAGGGTGTGGGGGAGCAACCCTTTCTTCTGCTTCAGATGAGAAGAATTGAGGCAGTGGCGGTGGCACAGCCTTGCAAGCTCCTGATAGAAGAAATGGCTTTCCTAGCTCCACAGGGTTCCTCAAACTGGCAGGGGACCTTCTGAGGTCACGAGATGAGCCCCACTGCACAGTTCTCATTTCTTCTGGGTGTGGGTGGTTTCTGCCCCTCTCTGGGCCTCAGGGGCCTCGGACTTCCTAAAGCAGCCTTCCTTTGAGAGCACTGTCCCAGGAGTCAGGCACGTGGGCTATCTCTGCTCTCTCACCAGGTGTGGGAGCCACTTCTGAGTCCCATTGGCAAAACAAGCATAATAGGGCCCCCTTGAAGGGCAATGGGGAGGATGGAGTGACCAAGGGATGCTAGGGGTTCCCAGGTCATGCACTATCCATAAACACACTCAAGACAGAAGAGCTGTCATCTTTATCCACTCCAGGCACAGCCCATGGCTGCTTTCCAAGCTCCTTCAAACCAGGCAGCAGAAGTTCCTACCCTGCCGACGAGCTCAGGCGACAGGCGCCACGGCACCTCTGCTTTCCCGACTTTAAACAGGCTCTCCACTCTCCATCCTGAGCTTAGTAGGGGGCAGGACTGTGTCTCCCTGTCAATGGGAAGCTGCTTTGGAGCACGTGTCCCTTGGGGAAAACCCTGTGGATGGGGACCTGGTCTCCTCATCTGGGATTCTCCAGCAATGATGAGGAGCCCCCAACCAAGAGCCAATCCTCCTTCCAGATCTTCCCAGGAGGTCCCAGTCCTCAGAATTCCCTCCAAGCCCCACTAGGAATAAAAACCAGGTAGTAAGGGGTTTGCAAAACAATACATCCAACTTGACTTAGCTGAAGAAGACACCCCACCCCTTGTGGTCTGTGGTCCTGTGTCTCGGCGACTCTGGGTGCCCAGCTTCACGGCTGACCTACTCATTCCCGGGGGCCCACTGGGCTGTGCCCTTCCCTCGGGTCACATTGGCTTGGGTCCTTAGAGCACCCTTGGGCCCAGGTGCCCTGGGCCACTTCTCCTGAGTTAGGGACTGAATTCGTGAGGACAGAAACTTCCATCTCACCAAGGCTGAAGACAGGAGCCAGGCTGGGCTTGGAGGTCACCAGCCGCCTAGGAGTGGACCCGGAGAGGCTGCGTGGGGCCCTCCCTCTCAGATGGCAGACCCCAACCCTCCACCCAGAATCCGAGCCCGGACAGGGCCAGCAGGGAGCTGGGAGATGAGTCCGGCCCTGGCTGCCCGGCTCCCAGAGGAGGGCAGCGAGCCCGCAGGAGCGGGAGCGCCTGACCGGCCTCTCCTGGGGGTGGTGGGCGCGCGTCCCCTCCGGGGCGCCTGGGGATCGGGCTGCTCCGCGCCACTGCTCCCGCCGGGGACCCGCGACGCCCCAGCCCCTGCCCAGCCCGCGCCGCCCGCCGCGGCCACACCTCCCAGCCCCTGGGAAAGTCCCCGCCGCCGGCGCGAACCCACCTTCGGGGCGCCCAGGGTCCCTGCTGGGGACTCTCCGGGGTCCCCGCCGCCTCCTCCTGCGCGGGTCCGCGCTGCCCGGCTCCGGCCCGGCCCCAGCTCTGCGCTCCCGCCTCGCCTCCCCAGCTCCGGCGAATTCTCGGCGCCGCTCCTTTCGCTCCGTTCAGAGGGGACGTTTTTTCCCCGCGTTGCGTCAGGGCCGTTGCCTGGCGACGGCCGAGCTCTCAGCCCCGAGCCTTTCACCGCGGTCCCGGCCTCGCTTCTCGCCCCGGGTCCGAGCGCGCCCCGGGTCCTAGCGCCCTGCCGGTTCCCCTGCCAGAGCGGCCCCGGCGAGTGGAGACGAACTGCACACGCCTTCGCCAAACCCCAGAGGAAACCAAACCCAAACATCCATTTTCTCATTAAACCCGAAACCAAGGCAGTTTCCCCCAGTCGTGGCAACGTGGCTGCGCCACTGTCAGCAGTTTGTCCACGTGGAGGAGGCAGGGGAACCCCACGCCCACGGCCTCGCCCACCCACACACGGCTGGAGTTGACAGGACCCGCGGCCACGACTGCTCCCGAGCGCCCACCGTGGGCCACACCCCCGACGACCCAGCAGGGCAGGTAGGTGTGGGCATCTCTGGCTGCCAGATGAGGAAACCGAGACGCAGAGACCCAAGCGTTTGCCCCACTAACCACAGGGTGTCCCGCCGGGGGAGGGGGGGGAGGGGGGGCGCGGCATCAGCCACCTCCAGCGGTTATTGGGTTCTAAGACCCAGTCCCTGCTCCATTAGGACCAGAGCTGCAAACCCGAAGGCACACGCAGGACAGCAGCCCGAACCGCCGGCCCGCAGGTCTTCAGGACCAGTCACACACGCAGATGACGGGCCCAGGCCAGACACCGGAGGCCCCAAGGCGGGTTACTGGATGGGGGCCTCTTACCCAAGACCTCATCAGGCACCTTTCCTAGATGCCCGGGGCTGGAAGCGTCTTTCAAAGCGCTCCCACCTGCCATTCTTACGACAGCCCAGGGCGTGCGTGCAGGCGCCGTCTACAGGAGCAGACGCGAAGCTGAGTGGTGGCGCTGCAAAGTGGCCGGCGAGGGCTCCAGGCAGGTGCGCGGCTGGCCGGGCCGTCTTTGGGGCCTTAGCTCCTGCAGGTGCCCGAGACCCTCGGGCTGCCCTCTGGTGCCCGTGTCCTTCACTGCAACTCCGCATCCAGCCCTGACCTACTCCCTTTCTTTCCGACCTTCACTGGAAGGTCCTCTAAGGGACACGGTCTAAGGAGACATCTTGCCAGCACAGACCTACTCATGCTAATGGGGCAACGGTCCTAAGCTAAGAGGTGTATTAACAGGCGTCTTTTGGAGAGTCACAGCGTTGATGCAGACCTTCGGATTCCAGCTCCTAAACATCTCTCCACTCCTTCCGTCTTCCTGCCCGCTGCCACTGTTCCTAGCAAGGCACCAGCAGCTCGCCCTACCCTGTTCTGGGACCTGCCACCTGGATCCGAGCATGCACGCAGTCTTCTCAACGATCCCCCTTTACCCACTCTCAGCGGCTCCCAAGCCAGTTACTCCACAACCAGCGGAAACTCTTAAGAATGGAAATCCAATCTCAGCTGCTGCTGCTTAAAGGCCTTCAACGCCCCCAGTCCTCTGAGGATTAAGAGCTAGCTTGGCTGAAGGGGATTGATTGGCCTCTGTCTGTCTCTAGGGCCTTTTGCATGGCCTCTGCTCCCCAGACAGGTGCTCTTCCAGTCCCTCTGTGCACCTGCTCCACCCCATGGGCTGCTGCAGCTTCGCCTCCCAAGGGAACCCTAGGTTACAGGTGCTCACAGCACCCCCAACCTCTTCTTCATGGGCTAGTTATAATTCCAAGTTTATTTGTGAGGTTATTTAATTAGTGTCTCTCTCCCTCCCAGGCAGTGGGCTCCGGGAGGGCAGGCAGGAGCCTCGATCCAGACTTGGGGATGCAGCATCCTTCTGGGTGCTGGCTGTCCCTGACCACAGCGTCGCGTTGCTCACTGCTGTGCCTGAGGCCCTGGCACGTGGTGAATGCGCTAAGGTCTTTTTGGACTGGCCATTCAGCCCCAGCTGGAAATGTTTTGTCCTACCTCCACTTCCTGGCTCTCTGGCCTGTGGCTTCTATTTCTGGGAGTGCAGATGCTTTCTCATGGGGGAACTGTCGAATGTCTCAAATGGACAGGCAGCCTGTCCAGGGCAAGGGTGGTGTCTTGCCCTGTGGCTACCATTCTGTCTGGCATGTGCCTGTGGGCAGGAGCGTGCTCAGTGATGGGACTCAGAGGGGAGTGGGCCAGAGGAAGGAGGAAGGGGAGGAGGAGGAGCAGTCTTGGTTGGAATAGCCTCAACTCTAACATCAAACCACATGAAGTGGTCACATAAGTGAGTTAGCACAGAATTGTATGTAGCCATAGAAATAATATTTTCAAAAACTGTTTGATCATAAAGAAAAATACTAATGATTTAATGCTAAGTAAATAAGACTGGGACACCAAATCCTGTGTACATTAGGAAAGTTCTCATTCGAATATCTAATTCATATGTATGCATGGAAAAAAGACTGGAAGAGTATATGCAAATATTAGCTGTGGTTATCTCTGGGCTGCAGGATAATGGAGGATTTCAAATGTCTTCTGTAAGCCTGCATTCGTTTTCTACAATGAATCGTTTTGTAATGAGGAACATCAAGAAACACTGCTGAAACGGAAAGATGGCACTGTGCTGGTCTTCCTGGTGGTGCTGCCTTTTGTGTGAAGCACTCTGAGACCCATTGGTGCTGGGAGGGTCTGGGTGGGCCAGAGAGAGCAGGGACACTTGGGGGCTCTTCCTTCCCCTCAATTCCTTACAGAGCAGTTTCCTTTCAAAGTGGTGCACGATATATGAGACATTGCCTCTTGTAATCCTACAGGAAGCTGTGAAATAGATGAGTCTAGAAATATGCCCAGCTCGGAATGGTTGCTCACACCTGTAATCACAGCACTTTGGAAGGCAGAGGCAGGAGGATTGCTTGAGCCCAGGGATTTGAGACCAGCCTGGGTAACATGGTGAGATCCTGTCTCTACAAAAAAAAAAAAAAAAAAAAAAGAAGAAGAAGAAAAAAGCAAACTCAGCTGGGCATGATGGTACATGCCTGAAGTCCCAGCTACTTGGGAGGCTGAGGTGGGAGCACTTCTTGAGCCCAGGAGGTGAAGGCCACAGTCAGCCATGATGGCACCGCTGTACTCCAGCCTGGGCAACAGAGCAAGAGACCCTGTCTCAAAATAAAAAAGATTTAAACTTAAAGTATTGTCTTTCAGAATTTCTCTCAATTCATGTATTCATCTATTCAGTAAATGCATATCAGCACCGCTAAATACCGGACCCTGTTCTCGGCTCTTGGAAAATGTTAGTGAACAGGTTAGATGAAGGACCTGGCCCTTGAGAGCTGACAGTCTAGCAGAGGAAAGCAGGCAGGCGCTGACCAACGAATACGCTAAGTGAATGAGCAACACCGTGAGTTACAGAAAGGTAGAACTGTAGACTTGGATTGGAAGTAACGGCAGAGGAGGGGCAAGGGTGGGCATGTTTTCAGGCAAGGTGGGCAGGGGCTGGCCTCGCTAATAAGGTAGTTTCCTAGCAAAGATTTGAGGGAGATGAGGGAGGGGTCTTGTGGTGTCTCGGGGAAGGGTGTTCTAGGCAAGGGAACAGTCAGTGCAGAGGCCCTGGCCCAGCAAACGTGCCTGCCACAAGCAGGGGCCAGCACGGGTGCCTCGAGGCCAGAACGCAGCAGGCGGGGAGTGGAGCAGGTGTGGGAGGTGATGTCAGAGGCAGGCAGGGTGGGTGCTGGGGCAGAGCCTGTGGGCCTGGCAGACTCTGTGAGGACTGGCCTTCTCCCGAGCGGGCGCTCCAAATGCACAGCTCAACAGGGCTCTGCTCTCTTGGCTCTCTCGGGGCACAAAGCCTTCTCTAAATCAGTCCCTCCTGTTCCCTTTCGAGTTGGTGAGCTGCTTGAAGGTGATTCCTGGGTTCTGGGAATATGAGAGAAGAAAGGCTGAAACTTCTGTTGGGCTCCGTAGGGCAGAGGACCCTAGGGCGGCGACATTCCTGCCCTGCTCCAGAGGGCAATGAAGACTCCCAGTCCGGGACAGGAGACCACCAGCCTCTGCTGTTTGCTTGTGGAAGGGACTTTTCCATCTGTGGGCCCAGGGTTTCAAGAGGAGTACAAAGTGACTGTCTTAAGCATGTTGAAAAGCGGTGGCTCTTGCTGCCCTCATGTCTCAGGAGAGGCTGCTTTGGGCTGAAACTCAGAAGGGCAGTGAGGGCCGGCTTTCTGTCCTCTAGGGAAGCTGTTAGTTCCAATTGAGGGGCGGCTGGCTCTTTGCCACCCGGGGGTTGACATAGAGATATGACACATGCAGCTTCTTGGTAGGAAGATAATGAACAGAGCAGTCACCACACAGAGCATCCACCTTAGTGCTAGAGGAGGGAGGTGACAAATGCCACCTGAGCCTGGGTGAGGAGGAGGAGTGGACTGTAGCTTCGAGAGGTGCCCATCCTGAGGCAGCAAAGGGAAGAGCATCTGGAAGGGCATGTGCAGAAGCTTCGTGCAGAGCAGGAGGCAGATGAGCAGCTGAGGTGAGGAGCAGCAGGCACAGGGGGCACAGCTGTAGGGTTCAGCGCAGCTGCAAAGGCAGGGGCTGAGGAAGGAGTGTATTGCGGCTCTCCTAGCTCAGAGGAGCTGAACAGGTGAGAGGTCAGGACAGGATGCCCAGGCAGAGGTTGTTTCCGTGTTACTGACAGCTCAGGGCGATGGGGCCCCCTGCATGTCCCAGGTGATGATGACAGTGGGACAGCAATGGAGATGGTGACAGCAGGGACCTGGAGTCAGGCAGACCCCGGTCAAGTCCTAGCTCCTCTGGTGATTAGTATGTGCAATGTGGTCACTAAAGTTTTCTGAGCTACAGTTACTTCATCGGTAAAATGGAAACTATTTTACTATTTACAGTACTGTCTTGGTCCACGAGCAAGAGGGCTGCCTGCACTGGATTTGAGAGAGCCCTGTCCTGTGCTTTCTCCAAGCAAAAATGGCTGGGGGCCAGGGGGTGCCCACTCAGAGTCCACTCCCTCCCTTCCACCCAGGACCCTGATGACCCAGGACCCAGGGATCTCCTGCCCAGATGTGCCACGTTCAAGCTTGTGTGGCCTCTTCCTGGTCTATGGGGTTTGGATGAAGCTTGGGCTCTCAGGCTAGGCTGTTCCCCTGTCCAAGCACTGGGTGGGAAAAGTACGAAGGAGCCACAGGTGAGGGCTGAGGCCTCACTCCCACTTCGCTTCTACGTTCAAGGGTCCAAGGATGCAAATCAGAGCCTCGCCTTTGACATTGTTGTAAAGGTCTATTTGTCAAGGCAGGAGGAAAGAACGAAACCTATTTTCCAGTTTATTAACTTGATTTATAACTTTCAAATATTTAGAGACCTGGCGTGTGGACCTGCCCTTGTGCATTCGCTTTGGGGCTCTCAGATGGGACTGCTTTGGGCCTTTCTTGCTGGTTTATTTAAGGAGCAAATGACGCAGCACACTACACACAGACACGAGTGATCGCCTTCTGAATCCCGCTCCTCTCCATCATGCTGTGCGGAGTTTGCTGCTTTATCTTGTGAACTCCTGTAAGATGGTCTTCTAGAAGATGCTGTGGGACGTGTTTCCTGGCCCAGCACCAGTGCATCCCTGGTGACGCCTGGAAGGAGGCCTCTTGAACACACACAGCACTTGCTTTTTGTGTTTGTTTAGTTTTCTTTGAGACAAGACCTCTCTCTGTCGCCCAGGCTGGAGTGAAGTGGTGTGATCTCAGCTCACTGCAACCTCCGCCTCCCGGGTTCAAGTGATTCTTGCATGCACAGCATTTGAAGGGCACCAGAAATGTCACCACTTAACAACAGCATAGTGGTGACCCTGATGGGCAGGGGAGAGCCTTCTAGACGTGATTCTAAGCAGTTATGTCACCTGGTGAGCCTGGATGCTTTGAGGAATGGAAAGAGCCCTGAGTAGGAGCTGGGGATCCAGGCTCCAGTGTGGGCTCTGTTACTAACTGGAACTTTGTCACACCCCTTCCTCTAGTTGGATGGTTTTCTTTTCACTAGAACAAGGGGCTCCAGCTCTGCTATCCTCTGAACCCTGATTCCATGACAGTGTGCACCTGCTGAATGGACTCTATCCACCTGGGAAGAGGCAGGAGGCAGGACCAGGAACTGTCAATTAAGGGGCTCTGGCAGTTACTAGAAATCAAGGCCAGCAAGAAAGAAGAGACAGGCTGGTGCTGAGACTACAATGAGAGCTAGCCAGGGACGCTCAGGCACAATGCAGCACCCCGTCCCGGGGAAGAGCCGGCTCGAGCTCAGGGTAACCTGCAGGCAAGACCAGGGCTTCTAGGGCCTGCAGGAGAACGCAGCCCCTTATGGAAGCCAGGTCAGGGAAGCCCAGTGGCTTCTCCAACTCAAGAGCCCGTGGCAATATCGGTGCTGCAGGAGAGAGGACATAGGAGCTCATTTCATCTCCATCCATCAATCCCTGACGATACCGGAGGCGAGACACCTCGAGAAACCAAGGTGTATAGGACACACTGATGTCAGGAAAACTTGTTGCATACAGGGATGATTATTCTGTCACCAGGAAGGCCGAGACATGAGCACAGGCTTTAGAGGCAGGAGTGAGAGGAGCTGTTGAAAGAGAAGGACCGCTTGCCACTCACTGTAGCGGGGAGATCCCATAAGTGTTGAGGCAGGAGCCAAAAGCCTTAGCCGGTTTCCATATAAATAATGAAGAAGAAAGTAACTAGAAATATAACTGTAGTAGTTGTGAGTTATTCTTAGTTATTCATAGGCGATCCTAATTCTTTTACTAATGCCTCTCAGGTTGAAAGTGTGAACCTGGGGTGACATTGTGAAATGAATGACTCTAAGGCAAGACACTTTAAGCCCTCTGTCACACCCGCTTAAGGGCCGTGGGAGGGCGCCTTGGCTGAGTGGCAGGCAGTGCCAGCGCTGGGAAAGTGCCTGCTGTTTAGCCAGCTAGGGAAGGAGACATCCAAAATAGCTGAGACGTCTTCTTCCTCGGAGGAGTTAGGAGAAAACTCCGCTTCTCCAAGCTCTGGCGGCAGGCCTGATGCTGTCAGGGAGGCCCACAAACTTCGGGGGGCTTACCTGTCTCTATGTGATGCTGTGCTTCTGTGTCATGTTCCATGGCAATCTCATGACCCGCTTCTGCACCTGGTTTCTTTTTTCTTGTAAGAATTAGTAAAAGTAACGTAAATCTAATGTCTTTGTGACGAGCATAGAAAAAGAGCTGACGCATTATACCCCTTACCTTAGTCGGCTCCGGAAAATTTCTGCGCCCCTACCTGTTTGACACGTGATGTACTTGACCCGATCACTGCCACACCCTCTTTTACCCTGCCCCTAGTCGCGCACCACCAAGACCACACCCTACCTATGCCCTACCTTCCCTGCCCCGAGCTTTCGTACTCAGAGTGTGCGGGCACTCGGGGCCACTGCCAGACTCTCAGCTTTGGTTGGCAGTGGACCCCCAGGCCCAAACTCTCTTTTCTCTATCTCTGTGTCTTGTGTCTTGTATTTCTACAATTTCTCGTCTCCACACCAGCAGGGAGGGGCTCACAGAACCCTGTAGGGCTGGACCCTACAACTCACCAGTGCTGGGAGGGATTCTGGGGGAAACGGGCCTTCGGCTCTTAATATTCAACCCCTTTTCAAGAATTGTACCCCGAGGAGATGGTGGGATCAGAGCCTCCCTTATACATGTCTTCTCTCCTAAAATCAGCTCTAACCCACCACCCCGTAGATGTCCAAACAAAAGGGACCCACAGCATCTTTCTCATCCCATCCTGGCCGGCAGGTGGGAGGAAGTGCACGCAGTGCGGGTGCGGTTCTATCCCCAGGTCTGCCCTTTGCTGTCAGGCTGCTTTGGCCAAAGCCCTTAGCCTCCTGAGCCTCAGCTTCCTCCTCTACACGTCGGCGGTACCAAGAAGGTCATTGTGAGGATCAGAATTAACGGCTAGAAAATGCCTGACAAACTTAGGGCGTAGCATATAGGAAATGGGGGTGTTTTGTTTTGTTTTTGTTTTTTGAGACAGAGTCTTGCCTCTGTCACCCTAGCTGGAGTGCAGTGGCACGATCTCGGCTCACTGCCAATCTTTGCCGCCCGGGTTCAAGCGATTCTCCTGCCTCAGCCTCCCAAGTAGCTGGGATTACAGGCATCCACCACCACACCTGTCTAATTTTTTGTGTTTT